ATTAAGCCTGGAACTGAGAAATGAAGCAGTAACAGTGCGTCCACAGCAACAGAAGGTAAACTATTTGCTCATTTGCTGGCTTACTGGGGTTTTAAGTGACAAAGTAGGAAACAAGTAGTAGAAGTACTACTGGAAGAACGTACTTTAGTATACTGTGAGCAGCAATATACTTTTTCTAGGCACTGTCTGCTGGAGCAACACATAAGAGTCTTCTACCTCTCATTTAACAAGCAGAACTTGTTAGGAGAATGAAACATACAGTTCTCTAAGAAGACTGGGTTGGAAAAGGTGACAGCTTAGTTTCAGGTTCCCTAGTTTTAAGCTTCATTTCAGTTTGCCAGTTCTTGTACTTTTCTGTTTCTGAACTCTGTTTACATGACTGTTTTAAAATGAAAAAAACCTGCATCCAAGTTCCATAGCATACAGAGGTGTGAAGGTAGAAAGCTACGAAGTCATCTTCATATGACTAGAAAAATACAAACAATGTGATTATGAAAGGAACTAGCATGAAGATTAACAATGTAAGAACGATTAACAGTGGAAGAATGGGGATGGAAGAACTCTATGCCATGACATTCACAATCGTCCTGCCCTGTCCTCCTACATCCTTACTGCACCACATTTTTACACGCAAGCTGGTTTAGTTAAAAACTAGTGAGTTATCCACATCATCAGAAACCTCTCACACTGCTTTCAACTTTACTTTCAATTCCAACCAGGGGTGAAGTCTGCAGTCAAGAAATTTAGCACATACACATGAAATCCACTGCACCTTTCTAATGAAAGGGCAATTAATGCACAAAATTTATGTATGTACTGCCATGTACTGTACATACTGTCAATTTATTATGTACTGTCACATACAAAACCCAAACCAATCCCATGCAAGTAACCCATGATCAGGGTAAGCCAGTGGCAATGACAGGAAGTTTAATATACTTAGGATAGAATGCTGCTGATACAATGCTAATGGATTTCGGGGTAGGTTTTGTTTCTGTTTTACACAAAGGCTGCTCAGGTGACATTCCATGACACTACAGTACACTGTCAGAATGCCTCTGTTAAAAATAGCTTCTAATGTTGCTACTGTCCCTGAGGTATGTTATACCTCTGCCTAGGAACTGTGATCAACAGTGTCAGTACCACCATATAGTCAATACCAGCTGAGAAAAGTACAATCGTCTATTTTGGTGTCTAGACTCTTTCCCCCTACCAGAATATCTCATGAACAAGACCCACCATTTAATGTTCAAAAGCCACTCTTACAACTCACAAAACTTGCACATTTACCGTGTTTCTGACTTCTCCCTAATCGGATAAGAGGGCATAAGAGATGTATGGACATAGCCCAAACGAACACATTACTTTGTAAACGTAATTTTGCATTTTGATTTTTTTACATTTAGCCCCTCTATCCTAAGTTCATAGTGCTATAATAAAAGAATCTCTGAAAGGTATGAAGTAAATAGAGCAAAACCTAATAAGGTGTTTTTTGCTCTGAGGTGGATCAAAGATCTCAACTCAATCAGTATTAAATTCCCTCATTTTATTGCCCCAACCGTAAAATGCACTGTCACGCTTTAACTTTTCCCAGGCTGTTTACCTTTACTGAAAGGTACTTGCTGCTTTTGGCATGGTTAACTATCACACAATGATCACGTCAATGTCTTTGAGATCATTATGTGGCAGTGCAGACTTACTATCTTATCAGTAGCAATGAATTTCTTGCTGACATTGAGGTGTTACACAACTGCTTTATTCTGACTATGAAACATGAAGAGAGACCTACTTTGTGAACTGGACAATAACGCAACAACAACTTCCCCCTTCCATTACCATCTTCACATGAGGGCAAATTAGACCAAAATTTTCATCATGAAACCGTGATACTCCTCAAAACTGCTTTGATTACAAGCATACATGAGCATACATAGGCAACTTAAAAGCAGACCCGAGCGGTGATCATATTTTCAGGTATACGCGTACATGACAGTACGCTTCAAGCTCAACTTTTAATACATACAATGACAAAAGACAGACAGAAGTCTAGTTCTTATAATACACTAAGAAGAGACAAAACCCCCCAACATTTTATGAAGACTTTTCTTTAAACATACATAAAATTCGTAACTATTTCAGAGCAGAAACACTGAAGAGAGGCTTGGTTACTGAGTAGGACCCAACTGTGCCAGAAATTTAAAGAGGAAAAAAAAAAAACCCACACAATCAAACACCTACCTAATCCCATACAGAACAGCAGATTATTATGTCAAAATAAAGAGGACTTCAGCCATTCACCTGTTTGTACCTTCTTCTAACAAAGAACCATTTGCATGAAACATCAAATCAAAACACTCTCCTTACCCCCAAACCCATTAGGCTTATTTTAGTCTACTTATGTAAACAAGAACTTGGACGACGTAGTCACTGAAATTCATATTTACTAAACAGCCTATGACATGTAATCCTAGAAGCAGTAATTTAGGTATCAGTTGGTCATGCCTTCTCCTTCTGCCTAAAACAAAATCACAGCTTAATGTTAATAAAACCCAGCATACCTTCAAGGAAGCACTGCAGGTTAAAAGAGATTTTAGTTTTTCTTTTTTTAAGACTGCTTAAATCTTTCCAGGCCTTACAAAAGGACAAAGTATATAATTTACATTTTGGAGCAAGAGGGAGGTGAAAGATTCAAGATAAGCAGAAGAAATTTTTCAGAATTTTCAGCATTCAGACTGTAGTAGCTCTACAAAGGCTATACACAGGAGTTCTTACAATGCCTTCTTGTTTCACCTAGCCATTACCTTATTTCTTGTTCATCTTTCAAAACTATTCAGTTAGAACTTATGCTTTGCTACACTATGTTCATCATCAACAAAACTTTTTACAGCCATCTGTATTCAGTTCCCAATTTTGATATGGCAAGAATATTGGAAGTTAATCTACTGAACAATTTCTCCTCAGTATTCCATCCTATCACAAAGAGGCCATCTACTTACACATTCCTAAACTCATCTTCTTTCTCAGACTGCATTTGAAAAATCATTTTATTTCTCACTAACACTTCCTCACCCCATGAACGCTTCATGAATTAGACAAAAAAGTTTGCAAGCCTCTGTGTATCGCCGGAGGACATGAAATAGAAAAGCCTACTGGGTGCCCTGACAGCACAACAGCAAAAAGGCAAACGTTAAACTCTATCTTACATGCAAGTTCTGCATTCACACACATTTCAGCTGTTGGTGGACAGAAGAGAAGCTTCCACAAATCATTCCAGTTCTTAGGTTCAAAGACAGGCAAATTATGTGAGCCATAGTTCTTAACTCCTGTGGTAAATTGATCACAGAGGAAGTACTATCAAAATGATCTACACTCACTGACAGTTCTGATGCTTTCCTACAGAACATATTGCTTGCTCTAATGAAACAGGTGAATGAAACTACAGTGCCACACAGAGGGTCTGCTCTGACACCTCATCTTCACAGAAGCTGGCTCAATGCGTTTCATCCCTTTGTTTCAGAACACAATGGAAGAAGTGCACGAGCTGCTGTCCGAGCAGATGTACTGATGGAATGGCATGCACAGACGTCAAATACCAGAAAGGAATAAAGGTAGCACGAAGATTTCTGATAAATCCAGACCTTGTCATCTAACTTCTACTTTTGTTTGGTATAAATACGACATATCGTATTGTCACTATCTTTTAATCTGAGAAAGACTACTATTGCAAAAGTGAAAAAACCCACAAGTGGATGCTGTATCTGACACATGCAAGCATAACTCCTGTTAGCACAAAGCCTTAGGAAACAAAGAGGTATCAAATAAATATTTGTACATGAAGACCAACTATGGATAACATATTCTAAATTTATGCATAAAGTTTTGCCCTTAAAATTCCCATCTCTTGTGTCAGAATCCAAACTTTTTTTCTTTTTTCTCCCAAAGTTTAACCAAAGGCCTTTCCAAATGTAAACCTGCAGCTCTGCACTGTGGCTTACACTTTCAAACACTCAGGACAAAGTCAAATAATGTTAAGATTTCCCCCTTTTTAAAAGCAGATGTTTATCTAGCATTCAGCTATCTAATGGCAACAATATTGTGAGGTTCAGGGTCCAGAGTGATTGAATACTATTAATGAGAACCATCAAGACTCCAATTCTGTTCTTTTAGGGGGCTACACAGTCTACATATCTCAGGTAATGTGGTGAAAGAGCTCTGGTATCAAAAATAAATTTCAGTTAGTTGAAAACCAAGCTGTTCCAATTTGACCCAAGCAATATCTTTTCTTCCAGCAGAGGGAGGAGAGTTACCTTGGCTCAGCCCAGAATTTCTTCTTGATGCAAAATGAAACACTGCATAAGACTCTGCAACTACAGACATCTCACAGTGCACTGCTTCAGACTCCCGAGACACGAAGTGGTAATTCCAGAAACAAGCTGTTACTTGTTTTTAAGAGATTAAATCTCCTTTTAATCCGCATTATTCCAGATTGTACTGGAATAAATGCATTTTATTTACTGAGTTTTCTTTTTCTATAGGAGAAATATATTCTGTGAAAGGAATATGGACAGATACCCACATAAAGCTCAAAAGGAGAACATGAATCTAAATAGGGACTTAACTGATTTAATTCACATTCTCATACAAAAAGAGACAGTATGATTTGTGAAAGGCAGAGGACATACTTCTTGCCCTTATATTGCAGTCAACTGAACTATTAAGAGTAGTTTTTATCTTAAATTTATATCTTGTTCAGCTGAGGAACATACTTAATTTTGGCAAACATAATTAATACTATCATAGTCTTATTTACTCAAATGGCTATACAAGGACAAATGAATATCTGGACATTAATCTTTCCTTATACACAGACAGCAGCGAAGTTACAAAAAGCTAACGAAGTACACATCATAACCAACAACAGCTATGTTATAAAGATGTCTCTATATATTAATATTAAATTGTATGATGTACTCACAGACACGGGGTTTTTTTTTTGGTACCTGCAAGTAAGGTTAGGGTCAGCATTCCTTGACAGCAGCACTTCCACAGTCTTCAAGACTTTTTCCTCTGAAGTATGTGCGGTGCATGCTGCCATCAGCACAGTGTACTTATCTGTTTTGAAATTTGCAGTTAGAGAATTACTTGTGTAAATGTAAATACTATGCTAATGCAGAAGCTCCTTTAAAAGCCTTTACATTTGCTAGACTTGTTAATCAGGTTCTGATACTCTAAAATACTTAGAAAACGGTAAGAAATTTGTTTTCCTTCCAGCGAAAGTCACTCGAAATAACAGGTAAGGTAAAGGCATCTGAGAAGATACTCAGAAACATGAGAGTGAATGGCAGTAGTAAAGCATCTAATCCTACTGAAGTCTAGGATACCTCTTAAGTATCCCCCTCAAAGCCAGCAGGAGCTTAACTATAGGTGCTTGTTCCTCAAATCTTGTTTTATTACCAGTAGATTCACTCCCTGTTCCTCTCCACCTCTCCCCAAAATACAGTCAATGGAAGAAACAAATTAAGTTAACTGCAACAGATAAAAAAAGTGCATTAAATGTATTATAAAAACATAGCAACATGAGTTCTATGGAGAACCGAGGCCCATATAAAGGACAGTTCAAGTAACAAGGCTTTATTATACGGCTGAAGGAGAAGGAAGTAAATTTACTAGAATACTGAGGTACAGTAGTGGCCAAAGATTAAAAGCTGGGGTTTAGATGTGTGTTTAAAGAACATCTACACAGTACATAAAGATTCATCAGGAGGAACTAGTGTAGTTGCTCCAGCTCTGAAGGCAGCTGGGTGTTACATGCCACCTTAGCTCACAAATCAGAATTCTACACCATTGCTGTCTGCCCACAGAACAGGGGAGATCTCCTTTCCTATGGTTCTCCTAGGGATGTGGGAAGCATCATACCTTAAGGTCCTTAGACTGCCATTTGAATAACTGCCCATTTTGCTTGTTGTACAAACTTGTTCACAAGTTCAAACATGCCTTTAACAATACGTTTTAACGAGTATAATTTTAGTTGTACCTACTTCAGACCATATCATGAAGTGTTACAATGTATTTTCGAATTCTCTTGTAGATATTTTAAGACTGTGTATGTATTAACACCTTTATTCTTCAACTGAGGTCAGATGTTATTTAAACATGGAAAGTTTGTTCTGTACTTTACCCTCCTCTGCTTTACTTTCTTTCTTACCACTTCTTGTCCCTGACAACAAAGACCTCAGTTTTGCATTCAAATTCATCTGTTTCTTAATATACCATATTCTAATTTTCAGCTCCTCCTGTAGAAGTTCTACCACATGTAATACAATGTTAAATGAAAATTTCAGTTTAAGAGAGTCACCTGAACAATAAACAACGAACATTTTAGTAAAATAATCAACACACTGACAGATTTTTATTCAAATGGTTAACTTGGTTATCAATAACAACATGAACGGAAAGATGGCAGGACACCGAGCAACGGCAGAAATAAGCACCATTAAAAGTAATACGCATCATTAAAAAACAGTTATTAATTTCTGTTAGCATACTCATAGCTCATACATGTGAGCAAGAGAAGAAGGGGAAGAAACACTTTAGAATTCTCAGGTTTCTCTTTTGCTGAGAAAAACAGGTAAGAGACTGCAAAAAAATATCAGTTTACGTTCAGCCTAGCTGAAAAACCCAGATGAGCCAGTGAATTTACTCCAAGGCTTCTGCATTCTGATCCCATCACACAGTGAATGTTACTTTAGTTCCTTGCTCTTCCTGACTACAAAAAAGGTAAAATTAATTAACCACTTAGAAAGAAACATGACAAAAGGTGATTAACAGTATAGCTATTATTAGGATTATAAGCATTATAGGATAATTAGCATAGGATCAGTTATGTGATTGTCTACTGATGTAAAAAAAGCAGGACAACTGATGACATTTAGTAGCATTTTAGGATGGCATAACTTTACTGAACACATATGGCCTGACCTAAATCAGCGCTTTGCAAGACTTCCTGGATGGACAGTGCTCTGCTACATATGCCCCAGCTACTTACTGTTTCACTACACAAACTACTAGGGAAACAAGCTAAGAAACCCGATCCTAGCAGCAAGGTGTCACTGAGAGCAAACACATTTGGTCACACACTGAAGAAACATGACATGCAAATAGTTGTGGTAAATGGCTCAATGTCCAGCTGGAGACTAGTAACGAGTGGTGTCCCTCAGGGATCAGTGTAGGGAGGGACTGGTCTTGTTCAACATCTGTTGGCGACATGGACAGTGGGATTGAGTGCGCCCTCAGCAAGTTGGCCTATGACACCAAGCTGTGTGGTTCGGTTGATAGGCTGGAGGGAAGGAATGCCATCCAGAGGGACCTCGACACACTTGTGAGGTGGGCTGATGCCAACTTTATGAAGTTTAACCATGCCAAGTGCAAGGTCCTACACCTGGGTCGGAGCAATCCCAGGCACAGCTACAGGTTGGGCAAAGAAGAGATTCAAAGCAGCCCTGCGGAGAAGGACTTGGGGGTGCTAGTCGATGGGAAAATGAACGTGAGCCGGCAGGGTGCGCCTGAAGCCCAGAAAGCCAACCATATCCTGGGCTGCATCTAAAGGAGCATGACCAGCAGGTCAAAGGAGGTGATCCTGCCCCTCTACTCTGCTCTCATGAGACCTCCCTTGGAGTACTGTGTGCAGTTCTGGTGTCCTCAACATAAAAGGGACATGAAACTGTTGGAACAAGTCCAGAGGAGGGCCACAAGGATGATCAGGGGACTGGAGCACCTCCTGTATGAAGACAGGCTGAGGAAGTTGGGGCTGTTCAGCCTGGAGAAGAGAAGGCTGCATGGAGACCTCATAGCAGCCTTCCAGTATCTGAAGGGGGCCTATAGGGATGCTGGGGAGGGACTCTTCATTAGGGACTGTAGTGATAGGACAAGGGGTAATGGGTTAAAGCTTAAACAGGGGAAGTCTGGATATAAGGAAGAAATTCTTTCCTGTTAGGGTGGTGAGGCACTGGAATGGGTTGCCCAAGGAAGTTGTGAATGCTCCACCCCTGGCAGTATTCAAGGCCAGGTTGGATGAAGCCTTGGGTGAGATGGTTTAACATGAGGTGTCCCTGCCCATGGCAGGGGGTTTGGAACTAGATGATCTTAAGGTCCTTTCCAACCCCAACTATTCTATGATTCTATGCTGGTTAACTGGTCAGCCGCAACTGCTGCCCACAGCAGTTCCTGCACTATTTATAGCTCTCTACAGCCATCAAGGAGGACCAGGTGTGAGTTGTAGGCAGCCATAGGTATAGGCAGCCTCATGGAAGTTCTAAGTTGGCTACAGGGTCAGTAGTTTGAAGGCATGATTGCTTTTGCTGCAGGCAATCTGCTCTAATCTCATACTCTGATCCGATGCTAAGAAACCCAAGAAAACACTCTGAGGTATATTTGTATCATCTGCATTTCAGTCTACTACTACTACAAACACTGACAAGTTATTGGATAATATGATTACTGCTTTTATGTACTTGGTAGTGTTGTGTGTCATATGTTTCTCCTATATTGCTGTGCTTTTTCTTTAGCTTCGATAAATCTTCCAACACAATGAAAAAGAAGGAAAGTAACAGTAAGTAAGAAAAAGTTATCATTATGCCATTATAATTGATAGAACTGAGATTACATTGAAGCTCCACTGAACTCTAGTGGAATATGGTGATTTAGCAAGACATTGACAAACAGTTTTCACTTTATAGAAAAATGTGCTCTAGTTTTAGAAAAGTCCACATTAGTTTTCCAGAAACTGGAAAGTTATTCCTGTTCTTTGGGATTCTATCTGGTTTCTGTGTGTACATACTTCATAACAGGATCAAACAAAGGAAGTTTGAGCTGTCCAACTTTGGCCTAAAATTCTTGAACAAATATTTCAAAATACTTTATTTTTAAAAAAGTACTTGGAGATTGTGAGGTAGAGGGTGAAGAAGACAGAATAAGAGAGAAAGAACAAGAAAACCCATCAACTGATTCCACATCAGTTCCAAGAACACAATTTTTACTTTACTACTTTTATTTCAAAACTGTGAAATCTAGACTAGGCCCCCATTTGCCTGTGAATTTTGATTTTTTCCCTATATATGTAAAAAGAGAATAAGGATAGGACAATATCTGGTACTGGGCATTACTAACCAGTACTGTTCATTCACATCTTACCTATTTCAAAACATGCATTAGCACCTCTGTCCAGAAGAAGACGCACTACTGCAGACTCAGCCATACTGGCAGCAAACATCAGGGGAGTCCATCCAAAGTGAAAGCTAGATTCTATGTTTACACCTGTCAAAATTTAAGATACTAAAATCGTAAAACTGCACCACAATAAACATAATTGTTAATAATTTTTATTCTCAATACGTATCACTACAAAGGTTACACACTGTGTTTAATCCTAAAGAGAGGAGTTTCTTAGACCATTTTTATGTTTCTAATACACCTTTATCCAGGACACCAGCAAATAACTTTTAGAACTGACATGGAGGAAGCTCAGTTCTCAATTCAGGAAGTTCTGTTCCACAGACTACAATGAAATTATTTTTACAGCTAAATTTATTACTTAGATGATTTTCTTTTTTTTTTTTTTTTTAGAGAAGTGCACAGAATCTCTGTTTTCTCCACTTATGTGCAGTAACTTCCTTCAATCAAAATGAAAAATTTTGATTCTTTCCAAGCCAAGCTATGGAAGCAAACTGTTTGTCAGGTAATTAACATCATACTGACTAGGGTTTTCCTGCTTCACAACTCCTTTTATTCTCTGCCTTGAAAGGCAGTTAATTAACAGATACCAGTTTTGCGTTCTGTGCTAACAAAATACCATCTCGATAGAAAGAAGAAGATTGTGCAAGATCCAGTCACAATCACCAGATTTGTTACCCTTTATAAAGCCACATCTTCTTTATGGCTAGAAGAAAACTTGCCAGAAAGCCCTCCCAAACTCACCAAGTAGCAAGCAGCAGCCTGAGATACTCATCTGACAACTTTCAGATAATAATTTCTATACATTTTGGGGTAAGAGGAATCATCTTTCCTTCAATCCTTCCTCAAATATTACTTCCTCTACAACAGTATCTATCAGCTGGTTCTATATTAATCAGAAAGTGATTATGGATAATCAAAACTACTTCTTTACAAGAGACAGCTTAAAAAAAAAAACAACAAAAAAACCCATCTCCTAAAAAACTTGTGACAGTTGAGCTACATACATACCCGCATACCTTTTCATACAAAATGTGCATTTACCCTCCCTGTCTCAGTAGTTTGTTAAAGCTGTGCTCAGTGTAGCAACATAAAGTCATCAAAGCTGAGGGAGTAACAAGTCACTGCTGTTGGATTTATTCTTCAGCTGTTTAAGATCACTGAACTCATAGAAGCAATCAGTAAAGAAGGAACATTCAATGAAAGCCAGGTGTTGAAGCATTCTAACACCTCTTAACACCCAGAAGCCACAGAATTCACAATCAATCCCTCTTTAGTAATGCATACATACTAGCTGCAGTCTTTCATGCCACAGCATTCCAGTTTGCCTGCAGTACACAAAACCAGCTAGAGTCTGAGAGGAAGATAAGGAAAGGATAACTCAAACAGTAACCGTCATGTTGCTACTTGGCTGCATGGTTATCAGAGTTGTTGACTGAATTAGAAAATGCCTTCCCTTGGTTACTATTCAGACCCTCTCATAACATAAGCTGTTCCTGAAGTAAGCAGCATTATTTTAGCATTTAAAGAAGTCTTATAAGGCAACAGAGAAGCCCAGAAAAAAATTTACAGTGAAAAATCAGGCCAGATCCAACAGTCAGAGTTGGATGTACAGCTGCCACAGCTCTACAACCCAATGTTCAACCAATACTGATGCTGAGCATGTATCCCCAGCAAGCACACACCGGCCACACCGATCAACACAGACATAGCACTCATTTGAACTCACACAGCAGCAATGGTTTCATACTGCTCCCCTTTGGGATACGTCTATCTCTTCCAGCTGCTGGCATCGCAGACACACAGGCCTCCGAGCCCCAGTCCCACTCCTACAGCTGGCACATCACTCCTGTCTTTACAGTCGCTGGCACCCAGGCACAAAGGACCCCATGACAGCCCGGGGTCCCTTCCTCTGACTCCGTAATGTGTGTTCCTGCCCACCCTCAGGCTTCTCTGCTCCTCTGGGCTTGTGGAGAATGGCTTGTAATGGGCTGATGGTTTCCATGATGGGCAATGGAAGAGCTGGGTCAGAGTATTTGAGCTCCCCCACCTGCCATTATCTCACTGTGTACTGTTGTGGGCATCAGCAGAGGAGCTTTTCAGTCACATATCCTCACAAATTATGTCTGGGCAGCAAAGTGGATGGAGCATTATTTCTTACAATCTGAGTTACACGTAAATATCCTCCTCTAATCAGCAATAGAGAGAAATACACTGTGGCCCCAGATTAGCTCTACAGCAGAAACTATATGAAGCATGTGAATAAATGAAGCAAAAGAAAAACAAAGGAAGAATTACATTCTTTCTATGGTTACTACAGTTTCTCTGGTATCTCTTTCAGATATTTTGTTGACTGTAGCTAAAAACAGTTATGGTAGAAAGGCTGTTTTTATAGAGAAAAATGTAACCTCAAGTTCAGAAAGGTTATCAAGGGAATGCCTGAAGAATTACAAGCAACCTCTACATACAGCTCTTTATGCTAAATAATTTAATGTTTGACATCAAAATAAAAGAAGTCTCAAAACTCTTAAGAACAGCTCTTAGTATTGTAATTCATTCACATTCAGACCCAATTTACCTGAGGGAAAAGTCGTAAAATGCTTTTGTCTACAAGACTTCTCTCTAATAGATATACTGATTTCTGAGTTAAATCAAAGCTGCTGATGTCTCCCACTGCTAGGCCAGCTATGGTTCTCACCTGACTCAGGGTTCAGAGTCCTAAACTGGCTGAAAAAATTACTCACACCCACCTCAGTTTACTACTACTTTAATTCCTTGAACTGGCTCACGAAAGATCAGATGAGCTCTAGCACTCATGCAAGGATAAGAGCAGCACAGACTGCTGAATGGCTGAATGAAAACAAGAGGACTGCCCTGTAGCTACATCTTTGATCAGCCTAAACTGTCATAAGGTTGTAATTTTTAATTCTATATGAGGAAAACAAATTTATGAATTATACGGTTTTAAGTATTTTACTCCCAAAGCAGACCAATAAACCCAAGTCCTATCTGAACCTGTTACTTGCTTGCATTACTTTATGTGACACACACTTTAGAAAACTGTTCTTAGTATGTTGCCATTTTATAGGAGGGATAAGAGAAGACATTGTGCTTGTCCATCCCCTAAAGGAGCTCTGTAAAACTGCCTCAGCACCAGACTCTTAAAGCAGTATCTAAGCAAGCCAGAAGACAACATGTTCACACTCTATCTGAAAGAATGGACCCAATTGTTGCTAGGAAATATGCTTCCAACACAAACTGAGTTTGGTTGAGTGGTGGCAGCAAGTCTCCTGCAAGCTCTACTGAACATACACTAAAGGCAACTTTGGAGGCAAAGATTTAATCTGACTGAGCATCAATCCTCTGAAGGACAATGTTACCTTTCTTCAGAAACACCTCCCTGTTAGAGGCGTTGTGTTCTACCGCTTTGCAGGACAGTACTGCATGATTCAAAATTTACTGGTAGTCCTATTTTCAGGAAATGACAGATTCTCTTTGTGATACTGTCATGTGCATTTCAGGAGACAGGACACAGACTACAGGAACCTTTGGCCTGACCTTACACTCTTTAGCTATCACCATCTTCCCATGGCATAGAACTGCTCAGTATGTAACAGGCATCAATACGGAAAGCGAACTATTGCTGTTGGGCTGTAATACCGGCAATTAAATATGGATGGCAACAGCAAAACAATTACGTAATTCGACGCACAGATATTGCAAAAAACTCTATAAATAAGATCATATTTTCCCAAAGAAAGACAGAAGATGTATTTCACTCTGTATTTCACTTCTGTGTTTTAGCCTGTCCAATAGCTTTTATTTAACTTAAAATCGTTCCTCCACTGTGGTGAGAAACAGTCATCTTCTAAAAGGGCAAGGAATGCCATCGGTTTATCTCAGAGAAACTCACTGCTAACTAGGAAACTATTTTCTTCCTGCCATAAGACAGATTTTCCTCAGAGAACAAGCTCTTGGTTACAATATTCTGCTTGCTTGCTCAAGCAGAACTTCCTGACAATTATCACTAGGCAGGTCAACTCAGCTATGCAGTTTTTGATTGCCCTGGATGCTTCAGTAAGTGATCCAATCCTCCTAACACTGAATAACAGAAACACATTACACACAATTACTGAGAAACAGAATAGGGAGAAAGGCTTTTAGTTTTAAGACAAACTACTTTTTAGTGACAAATGCCACATAAACCCTATCAGACCTTTCAGAAACACACAATCATTGTCCAGCTGATGTTGCCAGGACAGCAGTATTATAAAGGGTGCATACCAGAAACTTAACAGTGCTGTGACTGAGAAAAATACAAAAATGGAATTTCCAAACTGGGGGAACACTATAAGGAAAAAAAGCCAGCCTCCCCTTCCTGCCAACTTCTCCCCCAGCAACCTTCAACATTAACGTAAAACCACCCACTGAATTCTCACTCTCAATTTAAACCACCTCAAATTGTTTATTACTTTCAAGTTAAGGATGCATCTGAAAACAAAGAAACACCTTATTTCACAGTTCACAGGCTACAGTTTTATCAATTTTCAGTGCTCCTGGCTGACAAAAGAAATAGAAATTAGAAGGGTTTTGCTAGAATACTGGATGCTGAGTCACTGAAAAAGTAATTTGATTTTTAAAGTAAGAGTCTGTATCCTGTATTGGAAACATTCACATACTCCTACATGCACTCTACATGTTACTTTGATACAAGAAACTCCTGAAGCTTTAGAATTCTTGCCAAGTTTAATTAAAAATTAAAAAATTCAACTTCATAACTGACTTTCCTTACCAGAGTTTAAGAGTTCTTCAATTAATGACACATCACCATGAAACACAGCCTTCCTTAATGCTTCATTCTTGTCTGCCTGCAACATTTGATCCAACTGCTAGATAAGCAAAGAAAAATTATGTCAAAACCCAGTACCTGTGTTAAGGTAAAAACTAAAGCTTGATTTCAGTATAAAAGCACCGATGATCTCTGTAAAGACAAAGCAGAGAAGGGGGAGCGAGGAGCAAGGCAGAACTTTTAATCTTACATCTCTCTACACCTGCTATGGGTCTACTGTAAAACATAGTTTTAAATCTGACTTTTCAGAAAGGTTCCATTCTTGAAAATACCTTCTTTCTCAACATACCTACTATCTTCCTATGCTGCTCTCAGTTTTTCTTAATGATGTTTAATTTCAGTTATTTTTCATCTTTTGGTGTAGAAAAACTTTACAACAGATTTCTGTAACTTTTTTGTATATTTCACATGTTGGAATCACAGCATTAGAACACACATCTATCAGATATAAAAACTGAGAGTCTGGGACAATGTAGCTCTGTGACTAGTTGTCTGGCTTAATACAGCACCAATTCACAGCTGGAAAAGGTTACTGTTCCTCTTTCCTGCCACTCCTGTTGTGGCAGAGGTATTTGTGCTGTTGCATTATGAATGATTTGGCTCAAAAATTCCCTGACCAAAAGACTAGTTTATGCATCAGACAGTTATCTGACTCAAGTTTCTTTCAAAACCACCACAGACTCGGCCTCTATCAAAGCTACAGATGCAGCTGAAGATCACTACTGGTGTTATCTAGATTATACAAAACCTGTAAGTGAAAAACTATTCACTAATTTCTTTGCAGACATAAGTGGGTATGGCAAGAAGTCCTATCTCACAACAGGTTTTGACATCATGAGAACTGAGAATTACAGTTTTCCCCAGCACACTGTAGTATTTCTTTCCAACATTTTTGTAAAGGTTTTACTCAGTGCTTAGTGTCTAGAAAAAAAAAAAGGTCGAGACACAGCCAATATCATAATTTAGCCCAATTGTCCTACTCAGCCAACGATTTCCAAATAACACATATCTCTGAAGAGACACCTCAGTTCAAAGATCAAAAACCTGAAAACCTTACTATAACCTTCAGCAAATATCGAGCTACTTCCATTCTCCAGTTCCAGCCACGAGACAAACCAAGGGCCAACAGGCCTTGCAGATCTGCCTCCACCTCACACTACCATATGCCTCACACTCGTGAGATGCAACAAAACCACTTCATCTTCACGTTAGCAGCAAACAGTCTCACAGTTTTTAAACAGCTTTAGAGGCCCCTGGTTGCTTTCAAATTTATTCTCACAATGAGATAAGGGCTGGGTCTGTTGTTAAGTGTTTTATATACACTTATGCAGGAAGACACCCTCCAAAACTTTAGTGTGGGGAGGGGTGGGTGGGTGTGGGCTGCTAGTAGAGGTTTTCTGTACTCCTGTATTGAGGGCAGACCACCACTCCCCTGCTGGGAAATAACCACACAATGGTCACCTGCCGCAGCCCTCCTCAGTGAGACCCACCGAGCCCCACGCTCTTACCGCGGCATCAGGCCGCACTCCCCCGGCTCCGCGCCCTCCCCGCCGCAGACCCCAGCTCGCCCCAGCTGGCCTCACCAGCGGCTCCTGCCGCACTACGCCGATATCCCAGCCGTCCTCGTCGCTGTTGCTGTCGTCGTCCTCGTAGCCCCCGGCCACGACGCGGAATTCCCACTGCGCGGCCGCCATGGCTCCCCGCTCCGCACGCATCGCCTCGACCCGCCGCCAGCGCCCAGTCATGTGGCCCGCCCCGCTTTCCCGCGCACTGCGGCTTGGCGGCGCAGGGGCTGCCGGTGCTCCGCGGGAGGAGGGCTCCGGGCTCCGGCCACCTGTCAGCGGTGTGAGCGTCCGGTCCTGGGGCGGGCAGTCGGGGTTCGTGAGGGGAAGGGGATGGGGACAGCCCGGGCCCTGCTGGTGGTGGCGTCAGAACGCCAGGTGAAAGAAACCATTAGAACTTTATGGTTATAAGCACATGGGAACATAAGGTGGCTTACTAGTGGCTGGACTGTTCTACGGGGCATTGGGTAAGGCAACGGAGCCAGGCATGAAGCTGCCTGTGAAGATTTATGGCTGGTAAATCCAAGGTAAAATACAAAGTTCTCTCTTTAATTTTTGGCATTATTAATACATTCTTTATAATGCCACCTAACCTAATAGCAGTCTGTTACATTACTTACGTGTGTGTACACATGCTGTTATATAGCCAAAGCTTCTGATAGTGAGTTATGTGGGGAAGGTTGAGCAGCAGCCATGCATGAGCTAAACTGTCACCTTCCTCCCTTCCATCTGGGTATATGTGGGTATTACTTTAAATTTTGGAATTATGGTTGGATTTCTTTCTAATTACAGATAATAGTGCCTTAGCCATCACAAGGTTCACATGAAACTCACTGAAGAACAGGTAAAGAACAGCATTCTGTGTGTCATCCACAGGCAAAACTGTTTTTTGAGCTCAGACTTTTCCCCAGTCTGGAATGAATTTGGTCTTCCACTGAGCAGAAGTGAACAGAAGGGAAAAAGTCTGGTCTTCCAGAAGAGGCAGGTGCTCATGCAGAATGGTGAATGTAGTTCTTGTGCCCATGACAACATAAAAGTGTAATTTTTAGTAAGTTCATATTAACAAAAAATTCACGTATCTTAACCAGAAGGGGACTGTGAAGCATTTCTTCCTTTTTTTTCTTTTTTCTTTTTTTTCTTTGGTTTTGGGTATTTTTTTGGTACAATGCAGTGTGTAAGGCACCTTTTACCATCTTGGGAATTTGCAGGTTAGATAGAGCTCTACTTGGAATGTACTAAGTGCTATAAAAATTGCACTTACTAAAAATAACACAGCCATAGTCCACATATTTCAATTGTGCACTCCTGACATTTTTAACAGGAGTGATTTTTCTAGATTTTAGTTGCTTGTCTGTAAAATATGGCAACCTATTTACATAAAAGTATAACGAAAGTCAGGTTATTAACAATGAGAAACTCTGGTATATAGCTAGCTGAACATTTTAAATGAACTCCCATGAAAGAAACTTCCAGTTATGGAAACCTGATAGAAATGCAAAAAACGTTTCTTTTCACACAGCCTCCTTGGAGAGAACAAAAGATGCTAAAATCAAGTCAACTGTAATACGTACCTCTGTATAAAGGCTTAGCTTCATGTGCTTATTTGGGATTTACCTGCATATACTAAAAGTCTGTTTAAATTAATTTAGTAATGAAGATAGAACATCTACTGGGTATAATAATGAAATATTTTTGTACCCATGTCAGTTTTTATAAAATCATTTTTCTCAGAGTTTTCAGCTTTCTGATCACTACCCTGAAGGTCTCTTGTGTCACTTTCTGCCTGCAGAGGAAAAGTTGAATATATGGCATTGTCACCTAGCTTCTTTGTATCTAGCAGTCTTTGACATTATGGTCTCCATGTCCAGGATCAAGCTTCCACAATGCTCTTCGTTTGCCTCAGCTGTGTTACAGAACATGGGCTTACTAGTAGAATTTCTGTCTCTAGCCGCTGAACTCTAATGACAGTGGAGTGTGACTTTTTACGATTGACCCGATGCAGTGTGAGAGAGTTGTTTCTAACCGGTGGTGACACTATCTACAGATTTGCTACTTTTAATACACTACCAATTGTTTAGTATTTAATAATTGTGATTTATTTGTTCTTGTTCAGATTTCAAAGTTGGGGATTGGTTTTGTTTGGTTTTTTTTTCGTGCCCTTTTCTCTGCACCATCTCATGTACAGTTTAAAATGTCACAACAGACACTTCAAATACAACCTGTGTGTTGCTGCTTTGCTGAAAGGCCACCTCTTTAAAATGGTCACTTTCAGTAATAGGTCTGATAGTCCTAGTACTACAAAAAGAAATCCTCTTTCAGAAACTCATGATGCAGAAGAGCCTTGCAGCCAGTGTGCATGATAGCTGTTTCAAATGTGAACATGCCAATTATGCAGAAGTTGATAGCAGGTGATCTCTACTTCTGTGGTTTGTTAGAGCTGTAAATCAAATGTTATTGTTAATGTGGGCTCGCCCTCTTCGTTTTCACATTCTGTGATCAGTTCATTTATGACCTTGAAGTCTTTCTTCATTTTTTAGCTGATCAGACTCTTCATTTCAGTTGACGGTGTGGTAATTCCTGGCTGTCATCTATACTTGCTACATATCAGTATGTTTTTACTTAGTCTGGTAGAAGCAGTTCCCAACATCCTTTCCACATTGCTATGCAGTACTCGTTTTACATGCAGGAAACAATTACAGAATGGCTCAAGTTGGGAAAACATCTCAGAATAATTTCTTGTATCACAAGGAGCATCAGAACAAGTACTAAAAGCCAACCCTGAAATAAATGACGAATCTGTGCATATCCTAACTCTGGGCACTTACATGTCAGCCTATATTAAACATACCTATTAAAAATACAGTGAATAGTAAAGGTAGAAGTCAGTGGATGCAGTAACAGTATTCATGTAAGAACCTGGTTTGCTCTGAATACTATAACTTCCTTAAAACACTTTCCATCTGTCTTCAGGCACCCTTCTTCCCAGCCATACCTGCATTTAGACATCAGCTTGTTTGCATTCATCAGCTGACTTTTAATCTTCTCTCATTACTTCTGGTATTAGATAGATTTCATTAGTTGTCTGAATTTCTTCAGTATTTTTATCTATACCTCGTGTTGTGTCTCATGTGAGACTGATATATGCATAGCTAAACATTTTTATTCAGACGTGGTTACTGGAATATTCTGGAATGTTTTAACTTGTTCAGTTACCTCTGTTTCAGACCAAAAGGATGAATCAGCAAATATATACAGGCTTTGACGCTGGGAAAGTAATGTTCTTGGAAGGAGAATCTGAATTGGTAAATGTTTAAAGATAATGACTCTGTAAACCTTAACTACTGCAATAAAGTTCTACTAACAGCACAGCAGCTAATACTTGAGAGGTTTAAGAGCAATAATAGCATTTTAGTGGAATTCTGCATAGTTCTCTATTACAGCTACTAGTTTAAGTTACAGTCTACACCCTTTCAGTATTACTTTCACGTAATTTTCATGTGTGGTAACATTACTTAGAGTAAAAACTGAGTGATTCTTTGTCTTAATGTCTTATTAACTTCGGCAAAACTTCACCAAACTGCGAGACAACTGATAAAAGGCCTTTTGAGCCCATTCCTTTTGTGTTCTCCTGATTTGTGTGGAGGAGGAAACAAGTCCTTGTACAAGCAACGTGCACTCCATAAAGAAGAGATTTAGTAATTGTAAGAGATTCTCATTACCAGAGAGGCTTAGTAGCTCTGGGTCTACTGAATTGACAAATTACCAGTACATTTTCAGCTGGGGAATGGTACTAGCTGTATGAATTCCATGGTTAAGGGCAGGAGATGGTACAGGAGTTTGCATAATTTGCAAGAAGTCCATAACGTAGCACAAGTGATTACAATTTCATAGGTCACATTCATGAAACAAATGAGAAACAAAGTACTTGATAGTAGTTGTTGTTAATTGATAGTGGATGTCCTGACTTGTATATACCTGTAACATATCTTAAGTTATTTCAAGTATAAGGAAGGGATAATATTGCAACCTTTCATTCCAGACTGTAAGTTGTCTATTCTGTAAGAAGCACTGATCTGTGTCCTTTCTGTGCTCTGTGAAATCACCTTTTGTGTTAAATAGTTTTAGTTTTGCCATCCTGAAATTTTATTAGGAGCTGCTGCACTACAGCAAATTGATTTATTCAGTTATTTCACTCATTGTTCTAATGGACTTATAATAGATGGAAAGCATTTAATGTCAGCTGTTTTGCTTCTGATAATGCGTTTTGTTTTTTTACAGCTGTATTCGTCCTGTCCATTTTGCCGAATCTGTCTGGATAGCATATGATGCTAAACTTTCAATCTGCTGCCTAAAGCTTGAGTATAAATTGTATAACAACTGATTTCCTGTTCATAAAATTTGTTTTCTGGTAGAAGCCTTAAACCACTGTCAAAATAGACCACATGAACTGACTAGTGTGGAATTCATGGGCATTCCCACCCCCAAACAGGAATTAGGAAGTTGAAGATAATTTATTTTTTTTTAATGTCAGTCAGGCACATTTTTAGCTGCTTTTCATATAACCTAGAAGTTTTGGTCTATATAGCAAGTCCATGGCAGAATGATTCCTGCTATTACTAGTACAGTCAGGTCTTGGGATCCTCCTGTCACTCCAGAAATACAAATGGGTTCTGCCACTTGACAGCTTGATGACATCAGTATACACTGTGCACTGATGTCTACTAGAGCCTTGTATTCCTGTCACTGTGACGTGCCAGGTCCTCTGATCCACGCAGTCCAGTTAAACCCGGTAATCCCTCTCCTTCACCTCTCTGGGGACAGGGCCCCTTCTCTGCTGGTCAGAGAATTCTCTAATTATTTCTTGTAAAAGCAGAGTAGAATTATTTACCACAGGGTCAGGGGTAAGATCAGCCCTCTCACTCTGACTGGGAAACTGCCCTTTGGAAACTGGAACAGCAATTTTCCTGGGAGAACATCAGTTTTGTGATTGTTTTTCTTTGGGATTTATGTACCTCTGCCTCTAGGGCTGAGGTGGATTTTCCGTGCCACTTCCTCATGTGCTCCTCAGATAAAACCACAGGGTACCCCTGTGGTGTGTGCCTTCTATATCCTCTCCCTTGAGCAGAAGAATGCATACTGTTAATAGCTGAGATGCTGGTCTATACAGGTGTTTTTGTTGTTGGAACTCTTGCAACAGTTTTTTAACACCAGTTTTTCCACAACTGACTGCACTTGTTCAGGGGTGAAGTTACAAAATACTGGAGGTGCCCACCGGCCTAGGTACTTACCTATACTATCCCACTCACCCTGCCACTCAGAACTATCCAGCCCTGGGACTGATCTCTGGGTGGTATTTTTAAGTAGTTGTTTAACCTTAAACAAGACCTGAAACACATTCAGCAACATGCTGATTCTTGGCAGTAGGACCATGCTGGTTTCAACATCCCAAGAATATTCAGAATTTTCAAAATTCTCAAACACTGCTGTAAGTAGGCTGGTGGGGAAGGGGAAAGTGTGGCAGGATGTCTCTTCTATAGGTTGGCCCTCCAAGGAGAAAAGGCAAGAGGTATAATTAATAATAATTCCCATTACATGGCTCCCAAAGTATAGAGGAGATGGCAATGCTGAGTACATGTACCCAATTAGTTTCATGACCAGCAAGTCTATCATATCACAAGCCAATATTATAAAGTACAACAAAATGAGAACCTTAGCCCAGGCCCCATGGGTGGTAAACACCAAAACAGTGAATGCAGGCTGCAAGTAAGGTGTGACACAATGCAGTGTTCTGAGAATACACGCAACAACTCCAAGAGCAAATAAATCAACACTCTGACAGGAACTACTAAACCAAAAAAAAATGAATGTTTATAACAAATTTGCTTCAACACATACCGGTCAGATCTGTTGTTATCTCAACCCATCACGTCCCTGTTCAGGTGCCAAAAAGGACTGTCGTGGTTTAATCCCAGCTGGCAGCAAAGTACTATCAGCCATTTGCTCACCGCCCCCCCCCCCCCCCCCCCCCCCCAGTGGATGGCGAGGAGAATTGGAAAAAAAAAGGTGAAACCTGTGGATTGAGATAAGAACAGTTTAATAATTAAAGTACAATATAATACTCATAAAAACAATGAAAAGGGAGATAACTAAAAAGAGAGAGAAAAAACTAAAAGAAAAAACAACCAACAAACCAAACCACAGTGATACACAATGCAATTGCTCACTATTTGCTGACCAATGTCCAGCCCATTGCTGAGCAGCAATCAGCATTTTCTAGCCAGCCTCCCCCCCCCCCCCCCCCCCCCCAGTTTATATACCAAGTGTATGGAATGGAATACTTCTTTGGCTAGTTTGTGTCAGGTGTCCCGTCTTTGCTCCCTTCCAGCTTCTTGTGCCCCTCCTCACTGGCAGAGCAGAGAGACTGAAAAGCCCTTCATCAGGATAAGCGGCTACTTGGCAACAACTAAAACACTGGTGTGTTATCAGCATTGTTCTCAGGCTGAAGCCAAGACACAGCACTGCACCAGCTACTAGGAAGGAAATTAACTATCCAGCCTAAACCAGGACAGAGAGGAACTGCTCGGCCCCTCACTGAATTCCTAACGTGACAACTGAACTTTGCTACTGATTCCTTTTATCTCATTCGTCTCCTCTAGCAAAGTCAGTGTCTCGTTAACATCTGCCTTAAACTCTTCTCTTTGAGGATAATTGTGATACCATGCACTCCCCAGTATGTGGTATAAACTAAAATTGTTACAAATGCCAACATTTGGAATGTGAAAACATGCTATGTGGGAAAACCATCCAAATATGTTGCACTGTTTTCAGTTGTCTTATACTTACACTTTTATGCTTCTCTCAAACTTTTGTCCAGCCTCCTGTGTACCCATATTGAATCACGTTGTTGCTTAAGATCCTGTATATGTATCTGTACCTTTTTCTCCCCAAGCCTCTAACCACTGATAACAACTCCTTCATTCAAGTTACTGTTGCCATAGATATAATGGTTCTCTTGTTACAAAAGCTTTTATTAGTCCCATTGTTTTCAAGTGTGTGAAATCTCAGAATTATCATCAGGCAGTAGTATATTAAAAACCATACCTTCTGTCTAAACTGTGCATAAAATCTTCATCAGTTCCTATCTACTCTGATGCTGTGAAAATGCCCTGTGTCTTAGTCATCCTATATACAGGAACTATTCAGGTATTGAAGATGTGGTTTCTTCTCTGTAAATGCAGATGTATAAGCTGCCAAGACAGCTGTTTGCTCTAGTTTTCTTCTCATAATAGTTTTCTACAAAACTTACTTTACACTGAACTTAGAATTCAGAAAGATAGTTAGGGTGGAAAGGACCTTAAGATCATCATGTTCCAACCCCCTGCCATGGGCAGGGACACCTCACACTAAGCCATATCACCCAAGGCCTTGTCCAACCTGGTCTTGAACACTGGCCAGGGATGGAGCATTCACAGCCTCCCTGGGACCCATTCCAGTGCCTCACCACCCTAACAGGAAAGAATTGTGGAACTTCTGGAATCCCAATTGCCTGAGTATAAGGCTCTGCAATTAACATACTTCCAGCTGCCCATATGGTTCTTTCCTATGTTCCTCCTTGTATTACCCATTCCTTTAACCAGATCCAAGCCACAACTATGTGTTCTAGTTCTTAGTAGGTTTTGGGAATTTTCAGAGTTAAATGCTGTGTATCCAAACAGTAAAATTAAGTTTAAAGATTTCACTGAAGATCCAAATACATTGCTCTTTCACCTTGCTTTTACCTAGCCTGCTTCCCCATTTATTCATACTTTTGACCATGCTTTCCATTGCAGCTCTGAAGAACAAGGCATTTTATTTCATTTCCCTTCTTTACATGGGAGAGTCTGTTGCCTTCCAGTTATCTTTCTTAATTTTAAAAGTATCACAGCAAGAAAGGAAGCTATTAAATATACCATACCCATTAAGTTTCCATGTAAACTTATCCAAAGGAGGAAAGAGGCACGGTCTTTGTACTGAGAGCAGAGGTAATGTTTGATTTCTACTAAGCTGAGGGCAGAGGAGGTTCCCTATAACAGGAAGAGAAGGGGAGGCCAGTGAACAAGGCAGACTCCTGTGCAGCTCAGTAGTACTGGCTATTTGGAAGACCTTGTGAGATTTTCTCCATCTTGTAGTAAGTTTCCTTGAGCCCTCTGTTACATCAGTAACAAATTTGAAGAGAGAGAAATTCATGTAAACAACTTCTAAAATGTTTCCTTTCTTGACTGTTCTTTTTTTAATTCACTCTTCCCCCCCCCCCCCCATCACTTAATTTCTTGTGATGAGACTGCTGCAAACCAGTTTTTATAGGGCTTTTGGAAACAAAAAAGGAGTTTATGTTTTACAGACTTTTTTCCCTACAAGTTAACATTAAAAACACAACATGCATCTCTAGGCATTGCTATGGCTAAAATAAGGCCAGATCAGTACATTAAGATAGATTTAGTATTTTTACTAAGCTGTATTTATACTGAACTGAGAAGGCCTTTAAAAAACTGGAACTTTAAAAAGAACCAGGAGTAAATGTATTGAAAATACAATTTAAAAATGTTCAGTAGGTTTTGATGGTAGGAATAGCAGCAGGCAGTCTGGAGTAGAAGAAAAGAGGAACTGAGACTGCCACAGTAGACTATTATTTTCTATTTCAAATGCTTATAGTGCTGGAAATATTTACAGAAAGCTGTTGCATGGTGGTTAAATGTAATGAAAAAATGATGTTTCCATCATTCCACAATAGCTTTTCTAAAAATACATACAGTTCACAATGAAGCTGTAGTGTTACATACTTAGTTAAAGTTGCGGACAAAGGACACTGATGAAGTGACATATAGGGACAGGAAGTGCTGTCAGCTGTGTGCTAAGAGCTATTTATCTGCTGAACAGCTTAGAGCTTAAACCTGCTTCACTAAAGGCATCACCTGACT